GCCTCAGTGACAGTCTTCTCTGATCTTCTTTCCAGGAGCTGGCCAGCTGTGGGTGGAATAAGAAGGAGAAGCACATCCTCGCACCCAACGTGGTAGCTTTCACAAGAAGGTTCAATCAGGTGAGAGCGGCTCTGCAGAGGAGTTTCGGAAATCGGCTATGTGCTTCAAATGCTCCCAGTGGTTAACCGAATTAATCACATGCAAAGTGTTTTGTAAAACTTGGGAATATGGTAAATAATGCCTTCAAAATTCTGTTTTCCATTGTAGTTATAACCAGAACAGAAAGAATTTTATTTGACCATTTTGTGAATGTTGGCATATGCACATCTGTATATACTGTGTTCCAGAGTTGCCTGTATTCAGGAATCCTGTTAGTTTCCATCTGTCTGCAGACTGGCGTTGAAATGGTTCGGACTGTGCCCGTCCCTGGTGGCAGCACTGCCGCCAGTTCGCACTCACGCAAAACACAGGACGCAAATACCGACAGCTGATTTCACAAATTGTGAGCCGGTTTTATTTAAACTCCGTTTGGCAGCTTCAATAACAGATGTGAAATTACAGAGAAGGAGCTTTCTGCCAGCTGCTGTATCTGTGGAAGAGTTCTGTTCAAGTCCCTATCCGCTGTAAATATGCGGGAGTTGGGATGCTTACTCAGCGATCTGGGATCCGACAAAGTGGTCAGGACCGTCAGTTTTTCCATGGCTGAGGGTACATTGTGTAATCCTTCAGTTCTCATCGCAATTTGATGTGGAACTGCTGTCAAAGGAGACAGACGAGCCGATCGCCAGCAGGAACTTTGCGTTTTCCTAAATCCGACAGGCAGGAGAGCCGGATTTAGCCTGAGTTGCTTGCCCTTAGGCAGTGCACAGCAGCATGGAGAAACGCTGGCATGAGTCAGTGTTGGGTTTTGGTATTTGTTAGCGATGTGATCTCATATCTAGCTTCATAATTATTTTGGAGATTTTTTTATTGGTGTAATTAGTTTTTTTATTAAAATTTAATTTTAAAACGTGCTGTTCAACGTCCGCATTTTCTCAACCAGACTATAAATGGGGTGTATTTTCCAACATATGAATTATGAGGGTAAGACTAATTGCCAAATCCCGATGTTAAAAAAAGAACTCGCTGTATTGTTCATTTCTGTGGGCTGGAAATAATTGAGTTGGATTGAAAGAACACAATTTGCTGTACTCCTTGCTCAGACGGTTCATTTCCCCACATGATTTCCTCCAGTTCTAAATCTAATTGAATTGGGGTCTCATTCGTCGTACACGGCCACCCAAATCTTCTCGCCGCAGAGCCACACTAGTGTTTGGAGAGGCAGGAGTTCTGTGTGTGAGGGGCCAAGTCCGCATCCTGCTCTTAAAACGCCACCTTTCAGGATAATGGTGTGTTTTAAGAGCATGTAGTCGCTGTGAATTGTGGGAGTGAAAATTAGTCAGCTCTTGCCTCCTCAGTGTTCTGGAACTGCAAGAGCTAATGCAGAATTGCAGATGCAGGCTTTGGACCCCGGTAGCTGAAACAGGGTTATTCACTAATTAATAAATTAGTGTGACAAATAGGACTCATTCGTTACACTCTAGCTATCGATCAGTGAGAGCATCTCTGGGTGTACCGAAAACTCACTCCTCGCTAAGAGCAGACAGCAGGACTTACACTATACCTGCTGCTGCATATTTTAGACATTAAATCTTTAAACCTGCGATGACACACAAGAAAAGAGCAGCATTTCTTATTTCACTCATGTGCGCTGCTTGATGGGAGCTCTCTTCTTAAAAAGTCTGCGTCGTCTAATAATTCCTGACTATTTGTACCAGAGAGCCAATGCTTCAATATCTTTCCTTCCCAGTGTTCCTGCCAGAAAGTTGTTACTGTATTTTGAAGTCTTCATTCTTTTCTTTGTTTCCGTTTGACAGTGATTTTTAATAATTTTGGTTTTTAGATTTTTGTGCTGACAAATGATGCAAAACATTTTTTTTTGCGTGTGCACCGAACTGACCTTAAAATGAAAAGTAAAACATACAAATCATACGGTTTACAGAGTTCTGCAGGAATAAGGGTCTGTACCGACATTAAAGGCACAGTCGTGTTTCTCGCCCCATGCCGGTAGTTATTTCTGTAGCTCCGTGAAGCACACGCTGCCTTGCTGGCTCCTGGCCTTTGGCTCAGTGGTCTAAGCAGAGCGAGTCTCTGTGTGGTAGAGCTCCACAGCCTTGACCACCCGTGCAGGAGGACTCGACGAGCGCCGGCAGCCGGGGGTCTTTCACACGCCTGGCTGCCTCTCCTCTGCTTCCTGCTCTGGCCCGTTTCGCACATCTGTTAAATCTGTGTGCGGAGTGATGCATAGCGAGTCGGGGATACCTGTGCTCTAAAAACATCACACTGTCAGGAAATGGCGCAGGTGGAAGTGAGGCTGTTGGGACAAGACAAAAGAGTCGTGCCTCCTGAGGGGAATTTCACTGTCTGCGTGACTGGTTCCCCATCGCTGAACAAGCGCGGTCCAGGTCTTGTTGAAGGAGCTGCCCCTCGGAAAGTGGCAGATACAGCAAGTGCCTGTAGGAACTGAGACTCTTGTCATAACCTGGAGACTTTAAGTGCCATGTATCTCAAATGAGGCTTTTCAGGGATTTCTTATTGTGGCAGAATATAGTTTGATAGACCACACCTGTGCTAGTTCTTAGGATTGCAACTGCGGAGCGCTGATCCAGGGGAGTGCCGAGGTGAAAATACTCTGCCTGACTTACCAAGGAGACCTTTCACGAGGGAAGACCAGCTGTTCTCCTGCGTATATTCAATCACACTAGTGTGACGACGGTAACAAGACTTTGCCAAGTTGTTTTTTAATGCACACTCCTTTACACGCACCTGTGTGGGTAGCAACTATAAAACCACTTTCTTCTTTTCAGGTGATGCCTAAACTGAGTACTTTACACCGTTCTCTGCTTTAGTGGAGCATCACAGAGCATATTGGTAAACGCACAGCCAGTATGTATCCCTTTCTTACAGAAGACTGGAATAGATCCCTGGAGATGCATTTGAAGGCTCTTTGTTTACACAGAACCTTTTCATATCGTCCCAGAAATCCTCTCTGGATTCCAGTTTAGGTTCGTGCTCCCTGTGTGGATATTCAGGCTCACATGGCTTCACCGTGGAATTCGCATTAGGCCTGGAGTGCAGCCCAGATTCATTCTCCTATGGGCTGTCAGATCCCCAGATAGCCTTAAGTCTGGAGCAGAGTCACTTATCAAAACGTGCTGTGCTGTACATCCAGAGGGGATGCGATTAGGTCTGTCTCTGTCCAGGATTGCATTAGTGCAGCCGGGATGCTGGGTAGCAGGCGTCTGTCTTTGAAGAGTGCCACGTGGAGACTTCCAGACTCCCTGGTGTGCATTTGCTCACTGACGAGCAATTACCGTTCCAACGCAGAGCCTGCCTTCGCTCTCTCCCTCCCTCCCTTTTCTCTCTCTTGGCCTCTTTGTTTTCTCCAAGTGTTCTCTTCACCAAGGCCAGTCGTGTCGGGAAGGATGCAGAGCCCAGTGTCGGTGCTCTCTTCGCTGGCCTTTGAGCTCAGCACCTCCCAGGAATATTAATGAGTAGATCATCAGTCTTTCCAAATTGCAGTTGACATATTTCCAGAATTCCAATATATTTATGACTCACGTTGGTCTTTATACAGTAATAACACTTAATGAAGGAGCGATTGATCCTAATGAAACTGAAAGCCTGACGTTGGTACATTGCCGTAACATTTCCTTAAGGAATATTACTATTAATGACCTCTTCCAAATTAATAAATAAATCTGATTACCAGACAACCTCAAATGGGCTCATTGGGCTGAATGGCCTCCTCTCGTTTGTAACTATAGTTATGGTTTATTGATTTTGTATGTGTATTTTTCGATCATGAAACGTTGTTTTACGCACTTGCAAGAAATTTACTTTTTCAGTCTATAGGAAACAAAAATTTCTACTTTGGCTGAAAATGTTTCAATATTTAAAGGTCAGTCCAGCAGTGTTGGAAATGCTGTGTGAAAGTATTCCACTGTGTGAGCTAAACTTTGGAAGCCTAAGGAAAGGGCCCAGGTCAGTTTCTCGACAACACTTCAGAAACGTTTGAACTCATTAAGCTTATGTTTCCATTAAAAAGGTTCTGTATGTAACTGTGTACACAGTGTGTGAAACAGCCCTGAGGGTTAAGGATGTGTCTCAAGGCCTGTGCAGTTGGTGTGTTGTAGTGAAGAGAAGACCAGAGCAAGACCACAGAATAAAACCTCACACACAGTTTGTCAAGTTCTTGTAAACATTTCTGTTTTGTAAAGATCATGAGAGCCTGATGACTCAAAAATTACAGCGCGGTAATAACAGTACTTGTTGGAGTGCTAACAGTACTTTAAGGCCTATTTTCCACAATTACTCTCAATTTAGAAGATTTATTGGCTTGACCAATGAATCACAGTGTTGCCAAAGCAACAACAATTAGCTAAACTTTTAGACATTTATGACAAAAACATTATAAATAATAGACATTTATGGACATTTGAAACAAAACAGTCTTATTGAGAGTCTCACTCTGTGTTCCTCAGGCTGTGACAGGAGATCACACACTGGGCTGCTATTGAGTTTCCTTTCCCAATAGGATTGGGAGCTGTTCTCAGTCTGGCAGGTGTGGGAATTCTGAGATGTGCTATTTTAGGGAAAAATCTTTGTCTGATCATGGAATATTTCTCAGTGCTGCAGAACGTCTATCTTTGTCTCTGCTTCTTCCTGC